GTCACAACAGGGCTAAGGAGGTAATTACTCGTGCTGAAGAAGAACTCGCGCTTGCCAAGTTGATTAGAAGTGGAGCTGATAGGGATCTTGTGCAGGTCCAAAAAACTATTGAAGTCTTGATTAGCAAGTTGGCGACGGCTACTAAGAACTGGAATGCTTTGTGGAAATTATTTCGGTCAGTAGCCAATCTCCTCTGGACTCCAATAGATGACGGTCAATCTTGGGCTCAGTTTCATCCGATGACCTGACGTCGGGTGCTTCTGGGGGGACCAATGGTGATCGAGGACGTCGAACCATGAATACTTCTCGTGCGTGAATTGTTCTGTTATCGGCATCAGTTTCCACACTATCGTAGTCGTTGATAACTTTAGTAGAGGCTTCAAGGTCGCAGATCGAGTCTCCTTCTTGGTAGGGTAGAATTGCTATTGTCGTCGTGCCGACTAGTTGGGTACCGCTATCCTCAGGAATAGAACCTGTCCAGTGGACAATGTAGTCTTGAGATGTTATAGTTAGTACGAGACCTTCCTGAGCTCCTTTCAGTGGCATTCTAAGCACCGGATCAAGGGATCCTTCGGGCTATGCCTGATAAGATTTTGCCATGTTGTGGAGTCCCAACGGAAAAGGACCCCACTTCTTGAAAGGATTCTGAGTGTTCTCCGAGTTATATTCTTGATAGGCCGAAGTCGCGTTCTAGAACTCTGCCGGAAAAGAACTTGGTTTCTCGAAAGAACTCGGGTAAGACTCCATCTTGGATGCGGAGCCTGAGTTTGAGTTGGATGCGCAAAGCCACGAAATCTAAGTTGGATCGGACATTACGAGCTGCGTGAATCTTCCGACGAGTTGATCTATCGTAGTCACCGAAATAGAGAGGTCTTCATGGTGATCTGAATCTTCGAGGAGATGGCTTTGGAGCTTGCCATCGTCGCCTGCCTCGCAGATCCATGAGCCGAAGATGAAGGTTGATCCCGTCGAGAAGATCATGTTGTTGAGGTCCATCGAGCTCTCGGATGCAAATTCACCGAAAGCCCCTACCTGGCGCGCCAGCTGTCGATGTTTCACCACCGATAGACTACCACGGGGGTACCCGGGGTAGTTTGTTCGGGCTTTGGTGTATGCAGAACTCGACGGTAAACACAAGAGATAGTCGATTTATCCTAGTTTGGGCCCTCGACCGTGATCGAGTAATAGCCCTACGTCCAGTTCGGCGTTAGCCTTTGCGTTGGATTGATTGTCAAGTGTCCTTCTCTAGGAACCCCGCCCTCCTTTATATAGTCAGGAGGCCAGAGTCCTAGTCGATTTACAATGAGAGTTCCTAGTAGGATTACAGAATACTACTACTACTAAGATTATATGGAAAGAATCCTAGTTAGACTAGATCTTCTCTCTTTCCTTGAGGGGTATCCCGTGGGTCCCGCATCGACAATTTCCTATCTAAGCATATGTGCAAGCTACAATTCAAACTCTTATCACATATATAGAGGGAACAATTGCTACCATTTAGGATTCATGAAACTTGTCTATATCCTTTTACACATGGTAGATATGCTTCGGCAAGCAACGTGGATTCAATTGAATTTTAATTTATATCTTTGTGTAAGGGTTGTCATCAATTACCAAAAAGGGGAGATTGAAAGCTCTAGTTTGATTTTGGTGAATTGATAAAACCCTAAGTGCTAACCTAGTTTATCAAGTGATCATGAGATAGGTAGCACATTCTAAGTGGTGAAGCAAATAAAGATCATGACATGATGATGGTGATGCCATGGTGATGATCAATTGCTTGGACTTAGAAAAGGATAAAGAAAAACAAAAGGCTTAAGGCAAAGGTATAAGTGGTAGGAACCATTTTGTTTCGGTGATCAATTCACTTAGCGAGTGTGACCACATTTAGGTTTGATAGCCGTACTATTAAGAGGGGTGAAACTCGTATCGAAATGCGGTTATCAAAGTGCCACTAGATGCTCTAACTCATTGCATATGCATTTAGGATCTAGTGGAGTGCTAACACCATTGAAAATATTTGTGAAAATATGCTAACACACATGCACAAAGATGATACACATTGTGTTTAGCACTTAGGAGCAAGGGTAAGAAACTTTACCGGTGGAGTGTTTGCCCGTAGAGTGCGGACAATCCGATGGTGCCACCGGCGCCCTGTATAGAAAAGACAGGGCTTCACAAAGTGCACCGAACGCTGGCATCTACTAGACCGGAGTGTCCGGTCAGCGGAAGCAGTGAAGACGCTGGTGTCGGTCTTCGACTAGACGCTGGGTCACTTCATGACCGAACGCTGATGGGGTGCGTCCGGTCCTGCTGACATGGCAGCGCATAGAGGAGATGTTGAGTGACCGGACGCGGGTGAGTCCGGTCATGATTTTTCACGAATAGAACCTTACTGGAAATGGCCGGACATTGGGGTCCTACGTTCGGTCACTTCGAAGCAGCGCGTCCGGTCACAACTTAAATGTACTGATGATCGTTGAGATCGAGCAATCAGCGTTTGAAGTAGGGGACATGTGGCGTGCATCGCGTGACCGGACATGGTCGATCTGACCGGCACGTCCGATCACCCCGATTTTTAGTAGACTGAGGATCCAACGGCTCTATTTCATGGGGGCTTCTATTTAAGCCCCATGGCCGGCTCAAGCTCACTCTCTTGGCCATTTGCATTGATATAGCAACCTTGTGAGCTTAGCCAAAGCCCTCCCACTCATATCCATCATTGATCTATCATCATTGTGAGATTAGGAGAGAATCAAGTGCATTGCTTGAGTGATTGCATCTAGAGGCACTTGGTATTCGTGTTTCGCTGCGGGATTCACTTGTTTCTCTTGGTGGTTGCCACCACTTAGACGGCTTGGAGCAGCGAGGATCATCGAGCGGAGGTTGGTGATTGTCTCCGGCTCCGATCGTGGTGATTGTGAGGGGTCTTGTGCCTTCCTCGGTGGAGCGCCAAAATGTAACTCTAGTGAATTGCTCGTGTCATTGAGTTACTTCACTTGTGGGTAGGTTCTTGCGGTGTCCAATTGTGTAGACGAGGTTCGTGCAACACCTCTTAGCCGCCGAACCACCAAGTGTTGGTCGACACAACGGGACTAGCGTGCCAGCAAGCACGTGAATCTCAGAAGAAAAATTGGTTGTCTCTTGCCCTTTGGTATTCTCCCAGTGATTGATTTAATATTCATCTTGTGATTGGTTCACTCATCTACACAACAGTATAATCACCCTACTCACTCATTTATATTCTTATAAATTAGTGGTAGTAAGCTCTTTAGTGTAACTCGAATTGGGAGCTTGCTTTGTAGTTTAAGTTCATCTAGTGGAGCTCTTTAGTGTAGCAAGTGTGAGAGCTCTTAGTGAGTAGTGACATAGTAAATTATGTGTTTAGTGATCATAGCAACTAGAATTGTTGGATAGGTGGCTTGCAACGTTTGTAGAGCTAGAGCAAGTTTGCTATTTGTTATAGGCCGCTGCTCACTGGCTTCTCTTGCGCGTGGACGAGCCGAGCGGGGTGAGTGCGGCGTCTGCAAGACAGCGAGAGCGAGTGCGGCCTGTGGTTGCGGTGCCCACGCGGGGTGGGGGAGGGGGTGCGTGCAGGGGGGCTTAGGTTTAGGAGGGTGTTGTGTGCTGGGCTAGACTGGGGGCGTAGGGATTTTTAGCAGGCCGCACCAGCCATCGGACCGCCACCAGGCCGACCTCTAAATGTCGGGCCATGTTGGGCCGGCCCACATGCCTAGGGTGTAGCCCAAACATGATCACGTGCATCGTGCCGGTCTGGTCCGGGCCTGCACACCATCGAACCGTGCCGTGTTTTTGGTAGACTAAAAAAAACCGTGCCTCGACCGGGCCATCGGGCTGCCGGCTGTATGGCCATTTATACCCGACGCCGGTTGAAAACCCTCACACCCTCTTCTCACTCGCTCTAGTGGCTCAGTCCCTGCCCCCTGCGCCTGCCCGGCACCACAGCAGCCACCTGCAGCGCCCCTGCCCGGCCCCTTCGGCACCACGGTGGCGCGTCTCGCCGGCGCGCGCGTGCGGCAAAGCCGCGCGCGGCTACGTCGAGACCGCCGCCGGGTGCCCTCATCGGCCTTAAGGTGGCGGCGCGGACAAGGCGCACGCCGCCCGTGCGAGCGGGTCAAGGCGGCGGCGCCCCGAGGCGAATCGCAGGCAGGCGCCCGTCCGTAGATGCGGCGGCGGCCGGGGGCCCACCTTTTGGCCGCCGGGGTGCGAGGCCCGCGCCGGTGCCGTGCCCTTATGTCACGCCGGTCGCGGGAGGTGACCAGGCCGTGCACATGGCGGCTGTCCTCATGACCATCAAGGTGGTGCACGCCCCAGACGCCTGTATCCCAGCGCGGCCGGACTACAGGTGATTATGCTTATGGTTAGGTCTCGTGATTGAGGAAAATTTGGGGATTTTGGCACTTTGTTCGGGATTATTTAAGGAAAAATTGGGGATTTTGGGGCTTTGTTGTGGATTTGCAATCGCCTCCTAATTGCTTATCTCGGTCTGATTTGGTGAAAAGAAACATTAATTGTCTGGGATTCATACTAATGCGAGATTAATGAATACCTATTTAAACATGGACACAATGTTTAATTAGGATTAATGAGCCAAATTGCTAAGAAGCAACATCTAATCCGAGGATGAATCTTTAGAACCGTGAGACCCTATGCTATTTGCTCGTTGATGCGTGTCTTTTGCATCTCAATCAAGTATTAAGAGATCAAAACGACTTAGGCCTGATTGGATCCATTAGCTGCTAATAGTTATTAGGTAGCTGATAGCCCATAGCCAATATGAGCTAGCTAACCATTAGATAGCTATCTATTAGCTGGGGGTGTTCGAATACGCAAATGTTTGAATAGGTGTCCATGCCCAACCAGAACTCAACGCTGATCATCTACCTCAGCGCTACCACTGCAGTGAGATGTCATAGATCTGCCCCTTGATGGTCATCAGCAGCAGTTTCTCGGGGTCGGATAAAGAGACGGGACCCAACCTTGTAGATCGCCACTGTGGAGCGCGGGATGGCGCGGTGCAAGGAGAATGGGCCCACGCCCAACCTCAGGATGGCACCGACAAAGAAACTGGACCCAACCTTGTAGATCGCCACTGCTGCCGCCACACCCGCGAGCACAAGGGGAGAGGAGGCGCCCCCTTCACCGCCGCCCACATCTCCGCCGCTGCGGCATCCACCAATAAAACAGTTTCCATGCGAACTCTACCCGAGAGGTTAGAGATTCAATGCCAGAGCTGCTTTGAAGGGACCTTGACCCTACCCCAGGTGCTACACCGCAAGCAGCAGGACACAGCCCTGCCATGGCAAACACCCTAGACACGTTGGCCGGAGGGCGCCGAGGCGAGAGCAATGGTGTAGCAAGGATGGAACAAGAAGCCATTCAGAAACCTGCTCCAGTGGAGAGTGGGGATTGTCTGGGGGTAGAGAAGCCCTTGCTCGAGGCCTCGTCCAAGGCCGCAGTCACTCTGGAGGGCCACCTGAGGCTGCCACTGCCACCCGAGGCTGCCCTCGCCAGAGGGCCTGCTTGAGACCGGCAGCGGTGGATGAGCTCCCATGCTGAGGCGCCTCCTAAGGCTGCCGCTGCCGGGATGGAGGAGCTTGTGGTGCAACTAGCCGGCATCTACGGCAGCAGGGCCAACGTGTGGCTGCTTGCAACACCTTGGTTTATGTGGGAGTGGATAAGGTGGGAAGTTTCACGTAACTCTGCTGCTAGCTAGGTTGGAGCAGCTAGTAAAAAACAATTATCTGGGTATCTAACTAATAATTAGCTGCTCTATTAGCTAAACATGTATGGAATTTGGATCCATCCCAGCTAATTTTAGCAGCTAACTATTAGGCCTTGTTTGGATGCACTCGTATTCATCTCAATCCACGTGTGTTAGAATGGATTGGGATGGAAACTAAATTAAGTTCTATCCCAAATCACTCAAACACACGTGGATTGAGGTGGATACAGGTATATCAAACAAGCCTTTAGCTAGGTGGATCCAAATAGGCCCTTAGCCCTTAGGCGTGTGCAGAAAACAATCTGTCTTAGGCTAACCATACATCAAACAATTTTTCTTAATCTAACTGGTATTTATCAGTGCTTATGGTCATCAGCAGCATGAATTTGAAGTAAAAATCGCTAGTATCTATCTAACCATAGGCTAACACGCCCTTAATCATAAAAACAGATCTAATATTGAGCTAACTGCTGACTAATCATGCTTTAGTTGATCTAACCTTATGCAGCCTTAACGGAATCATGTAGTACTGATCTAAATTGACATTAACAAAGGTTTGGACTTCAGTTGCTCTGGGTTAGGATCATGTTAGAACTAAGAAGGCTCTTAATACCAGTTGTTGAAATTATGTTCTGAAGGTAAAAGACACATGATTCAGAACAAAGACAGATGAGTGATTTTTTTTTTATTTCCTTGACAGTCTCCTATAAGAACAGCAAGGTTATTGAAGGTTTTCTGGTTTTGTAAAGGTGATGTGATACTCCCTCCGTCCTTGAATATAAGACGTGGTTTGACTTGGTGCGGTCTTCAGGAACATATTTTGACCTATAATTTCTCTTATAGTGTACAATTTATAGGAACAAAAGTTTAATCATTAGAAAGTATTTCTAAATACAAATCTAATGTAACTACTTTTATAATACAAACTTTTGATATAATTAGGCTAATTGTTAGTCAAGGCCTGGTGCAGTGGTGAGAGCTGTCTCGCTGAGTCACCAGGTCGTGGGTTCGAAGCAGCCTCTCCGCAGATTTGCGGGGAAAGTCTTGCCTCGGTTTTTCCCTTCCCCAGACCCCACTGCCTCCAACACTGGGTCTGCCCCCCCTTAATTGTTAGTCAAAGATAACAAAGTTTGAATTTTGAAAGACGTGCATGCCTTATATTCGGGGACGGAGGGAGTATAACATTGAGCATGTATTTTACTATCAAGAGAAAAGGCTAACTATGTTATCAAGCAGTTTCTTTTGCATGCAAGTCTCAACAACAACATGAGTTAAGTTGGAAGAAACCCAGTGACAACGACAGGTAACCAACAATGAAATCAGGGTAAACATCTGGCATACCACACAAACTAGTAGTAACAGGTAAATATCACACCTCTTTATCAGGCACAAAAATAAAATAAAATGATGCTGCCAACTACGCTCCTGCTGCTTCACCACCTGAACATTTTGGGAGATATAGTTCTGCCTGTTTATGTAATTTGTGCATCCAGGAAAGGGATAAAATCAAAAGAAGCCCTTGCTATCTCAACATGCTTTACAATGTATCTGTGCACAATGCGGATAACCATAGAATAATTAATTTTTAACTTCAATTTTCTCTCTAACCAGAGAACTGGAACTTACAGAAAGAAAGAACAAACAAAAAACTGATAATCACAGAAACACTGGTTTTGTTAGAAAACTTTTTCAACAGCTAGCATCTTGTATTTTAGGCCATAGAATTAACAAAGCCGGTTAATTTGACATTAAGTAAAGATCTATGGCCCCAAGATCAATTGATCCGGTGCTGAAGAGGACTAATAGGCAGCAGAACTGATTGTGCAGACATGCACATCATTCCCTGTTTTCACTCACTGCATTTGTTTATGTGGTTTTACATTGTTCTCTGACCTATTATCCAGTTTCAAATATTTTAGTAAGAAAAATGAACAAACCTGAAGCTCTGAAGCCTTGTGATTTATTTAGAAGTAAAGATGTTAAGTTATTCAGATCCTTGGTATTACACTGAAATAAATGTGAATCACGGGTAGCATGGATGGAACTGATATAGGAAATATTTCATTAGCAAAATTTAGCAAGAAACAAGTCAAATATAGTATTGACTCTGCATTATCAAACCATAACATGCTCTAAGTTTAGATCTGCTAAGTATGCTGCAATGTACATGGCTTCCATAAATTCGGGAAGAATCCTAGGAAACTGGTCGTCCAAAATGTACTCGTAGTTTTCTTCATCAAAAATGATATTTCCACTTTTGTCGAATCTTTTCAATGTGATATGTTGAAACGTATTTCTGATCAGCCTCAACAGTGACATTACATCAGTTCCATAGCTTCTCTTCCATCTTCCTCGGTCTCTCCACTTCCTTTTTTTTTTATCTCTCCCAAGGTATGTCTCAGTGAAGTACTGGTTATGTAGATCACGTCCAGACCAACCATTGAAGTGTTTCAACTCATCTAGGACAAACTTGTATCCAATATAGTCGGATTTCTTCATGGTTTGAAGCTTTGAATACAATTGCATGAAAGTTGACAATATCTGATTATGCTCCATCAAAGCACAGTCATAAGAAATTAGGTACTCATAGTCAGTACCACCTTTTTGTATCAATGAAAGCCATCGCATGATCTCACTTGGCATATCTTGAGATCCAAAGATTTCTGACTGTACCATTTTCACAAAACTCTGTAAATCTTTACGAGCACCTTGCTTGCTGTAGTTCTTCCGATCTTCTTCTTTGTACTCAAGAGTGACAAATAAGTTGTCATCTACCCAGAAGCTTCGCAAACCAAAGGACCCCTCGAGGCTATATCCTTCTCTATGTAATTTGTATATAAGTCTTATACTTCTCCTGAGTATGAGCCTGATTTCCAGCCGTGCAGAAGTTGTGACTCTACAAGACCTCGATGTTCCTGGCAGTTCTATGGTCTTTGTAAGCTCTCTCTTCAAAAGAAACTGATCTAGCCTGCTCATTGGATGAGTGTGACAGCAGCACTTTATTGAATTATCTGCACTGTGTGATGCAAGATCATTTTGTTGGCTACTGCTGCTTCCTGTCTTTCTGTAAGATTTGTGTTTGACAACTTCTGTTAAACTCTACAAAACCAATATTATATTCATTTTGTTTATTGTGGAGCACATGCACATTTTTAAACTTAAAATGATTGGGCAGTCACACTGTTCTTACCTTGCATTGTAGTGTCTTCAACAGGACAGGACGATGGGGGTATATCTTGTTGCTAGCCAATAGCTTAAACGAGACTGCGTGATCATTTTCCTCTGTATCTTCATTCTGGTCTTGGTAATCACACTCAGTTTTTTGCTCCTGAAAAAGTTCGTTGTTAAAAAAGGTCTAATCACAAATACACTGAACATCGGTGTTATAAATTAACCATTTACAACCAAAACACCCAGTTAAAGCCCAAAATATTTTTTCCCCCAATTTGTCAGGCTGTAGAGCTATCAAATGTCTATTTGCACAAGTAATTTTACAAGTATACATCAGTAATTATAAAAAGTTGTGCAATAACGGCTTTACACGTTGTAAGCATCAAATCAAGAAATAACAAGTAGTCGCATCAGAATTTTATCTCCAATTGTGCAAATCACATGTAAATTTAACAACACAGGAAAGATACTCGCTATCAAAATTCAATTGGCACCCTAAGTACCATCATTCTTCTTTGTTTTTATTTTGGTCACACTCATTGCAAGATAATCAAAAAACAAGGAATGCTGATATTTTTTTTACCCAGCACCATAGCTTGGGTCAACTATTTTATGTTTTGGAAAGATTGTTAAGACAATCACACCGAATGTGCGAATAAGCTCATTGGAAATACTTTAAGACAAGACACCGAATAAGCTCACCGGAATACTTTACAACAATCTTGAATATGTTGTTTGAGAATGTAGTGACCTTTATATTGAATGGCCACAAGAAAATAGAAAATAACTCCATGGTGGAACAAGGCTAACATAAAACCTAACTTCCTATATGTTGCAGTTCAGAATGGTCAGACCAAGCATACCTTGATCTTGGATGGCTCCTGAGAGGCCAGTTCCAGTAATCCATCTCTATTTCTGTGTATGCCAATGCTGGCTCCTTCGTCCTTTTCCTTAGCTCCGGCTCCATTGTTGGGCACCTTAATCATCGTAGAGGGATAGGTTGACTTAATTTAATGATAGAAAGGAATGGACTCAGAAGCTAATGTTTTTAGATGACAAACAAATGATAGAATCACAGAAAGGAGCGTAGTAAGAAGCTGACTGGGAATGTCTTAAGGCGACAAGCTGTTTTTAGTTTGATAATTACAAGAGTAGTAGTAGAGTGCTAGTTACAGAGCTTATTAAAATGACTGAGAAGATGCAATATTCTTACCTGGCTTTCCGTTGTCATATGGTGAAAGAATTGCCCTTCTTTGGCTGCGGCATTATTGAGCACATTTGGGGATGGGAGATATGTTCTCTTGCTAGCCAACAGCTTAAATGGCCTAGAGTTGATACTCTCATCACCCGTGAGCAGAGGATGAGATTGGACTATACCCTGAAAATTTACAGGATACAAGTATAAAATGTGAAATCAAGAACCATGATGAACTTCTCTAAAAAAAAAAGAGCCATGATGAACTAGGTTTTCCCTTAGATTCTACATAACAGATACAGAATGGACAAAAGTACTCAAGCTATTCTTTATCCGGCTTTTTATTACTCCCATTTTTATCCGGCTTATTATTACTTCCATCGGGGAAAAAGTCACAACTACCGGTTGGGAAAACAGAAACACTCGCATTAAAAAAAAAAAGAGCGCAAATCGTCGCTGATGAACCATCAGCAGTTGAGTAATGCAAAGAAACCCAATTCAAAAAGAGAGAGAGAGAGAGAGAACGCCATCGCCAGTTGGAGAAACCCAGCCAAGAAACTGAGATCGCGTAAAGAACTCCAAGCAGTACCACAATGGAACTCACCTCATCCTCAATGGTCGCGCAGGAGGGCGAAGACGACGTTGACGCCAGCGGAAGCGCCGGCGGCTGCGGCGACGGATCCTTCGGCGGTGAAGGTGAAAGTCCTGGGAACGACGTTGACGGCGCCGGCGTCGTCGTCGTGGAGGACGAGTTCCTGGGCGAGGAACTAACCACTCGAGGGGGAGGCATCGTCGCAGACGACGAGTTCTTGGGTGTATGCCGAACCTCTAGAGGAAACGGCGGCCGTTGCGGCGCTGTCGTCGTAGACCACGAGTTCTTGGGCTGCGGCGGCGTCGGCGGCGGCGTAGACAACTTCGTGGGCGAGTACTGAAGACCCGGAGTCTTGTCGGGCGAGTTCCGAATTCCTCCTGGAGGAGGAGGCGGCGCTGCCGCCGCCGCCGCCTGGCCGCCAGCGCTGCATCGCGCAGGCGCAGTGATGCTGAAAGTTATCTTTTTGCCAAAGATTCCCCTTTCCTTCGCCATTTCACAGCGATTTCAAGAACGGGATATCCGGCCAACGGGGATGAGGAAGGGTCCCTGATTGAATTTATAATTTCTTACAGGGTTCTCACAGAATATATGTCTTCTTTTTTCCGTCACCGACCCCTGGGTCCCACGAGCAGATGGAAGAGCCGCGCTGCCGGCAAATCCTTACTTAGTAGCCGTTTTTTTTAAAAAAGCCCGGAACTTGTTTACGGGAGAAGTCTTTTGACGCTCAACTTTCACAGTAGTCTGATTTTTTTCCATTTATAAAAACAAGGTTTTGAATTTATTTCTTGAAAGGATTTGGTTTTGTATCCGGTGGACAGCAATTTTGCCTTATAGGTGCGAATGACTAAATCGTACTTCACTAATACTATAATAGTTTAGGTTCTAAACTAGACTATAAATATATTTTTGAAAAATTATCAAATATTTTTTAGAAAATTTATACAATTAAAAATTCTAAAATCTAGTCTATGAAAAATTATAAAAGATTGTTTTAGCTTAGAAAATTATCAAACTAGTTTCAGATAAAATCATGCTCAATCTTAGATTACCTAATAAATTGAAATTATTTGAATATTTTCTATAAACCATTTTATGTTTATATGCTAACAGATGCTCTTATTATTTATTATAATTAATTAACTGATATTGATCAGTCGGAAGGCCAAGTGACACAAACTACTCTCGCTAATAAATACTCTTATTATCTATTTTCTAATTTTTATTGGTTCAATATCCATTTGGCGTTCCTGGTAAGAGCCCTTTCTTTCGAGGATTTAAAATTTAAGTTAAATGCTTGAGAAATCTTTAAACTTGTCATGGGGTGTTACTTAGGGGGTGTTTGGCATGGCTCTGGAGTTGAACTCCAGCAACTCCAGCCAATTTTCCAGCCAAACACCCCAACTCCAAAACTCCATGGAGCTGCCAACTCCATGGAGCTGTAGTGCAAATGGAGGTGGAGTTTTGGAGCACCTCTTTTGCAGCTCCGACTCCACCTAGAGCTCCGACTCCATCTAGAGCTGGCTCCACCTGGAGTTCTGGAGTGGAGTAGCTCCACCCAGAGTTGGAGCCATGCCAAACAGGGCCTTAGACCTCTGAACTTTGGAACTACATTTTTTAGACCCTAAACTTTTGAAGCGATTCACCAGAGGTTCTTACCACTCTGTTTTATGTTTATATTTGTAAAAACCTCTTATATTTATTTTTCTTTCACAAGCTTACTCTTCCTTGTAGCCATGCGGCCTGTTCGCTGATTAGTTTCTGAGCTGATTTGGGCTGACTGGTGCTGGTTTATTGTGAGAGAAAAACACTGTTGGTTGGCTGGTTTGGGCTGGCTGAAACCAACCAGAGAACAAGGCGATGGACGCGCCGCGGGAGATGGTGTAGTCCATGAGCTCCTCGAACGTGCCAGACCGCACCACCCGGATGGCCGGATCTCCAGCGGCCCGATGGAGCCGTCCGCCACACGGCTCTGCCGGTACACCGAGTTGAGCGTCTCCTCCATCTCCAGGCAGCAGCCGCCCACGGCCACCTGCGCTCCCTTGGCCTTGGTGGCCAGCAGCTCCCAGTCGATGACGCAGTGGCCTGGGATGATCCGCGTACACGCGTCGTGTACTCCACCACCGCCGCGCCGCGCCGCAGCGCGCGCGGAGCAATGCCGACGCGCGGTCCACGCGCTGCAGCTCTGCCTCGTCGGACTTGTCGGACTCGATGGAGAGCAACACGTTCTTGCGGCGCGCGAACCGGAACTGTGGCGCCGCGTTGTGGAAGCCGGCCACCCGGAGGATGTTCCTGACGCGGTACTGGTACAGCCCCGCGTACGTGTCAGGTCCACCAGCTGCGCCGCGTCGCACGACGCCACGCCGCTCGCCTCGTCCACGGGAGGAACTCGAAGTAGCCCATGTTGGGCATGATGGTGTAGCACACCTCCGACGGGTGGCACAAGGGCCGGAGATTCAGCCCGAAGTAGCAATCGGAGGACGCGTACATGGTGCAGGCCATGGGCAGCCTGCCGCTGTAGTACTCCAGGATGGGGATGGCGCGGGTGACGATGCCCGCCCAGTGGCCGCGGGAGCACTCGGCGCGGACGAAGCGCGCCAGCTCCGGGTCCGGGCGGAGGATGCCCACGACGGCGTCGGGGACGGACGCGTCGGCCACGTACGGGGTTAGCGACCCGGCCTCGATGTCGTCGGCGAGCTGCTCCCAGTGGAGCTGCAGGAAGCGGATGGCGGAGCAGGCCCGACGCGAAGACGACGCCCACGTGGAGCACGTCCTGGCGCTGGCACAGACCGCACACCATCGATCATTCAACGTACCTACGCGCGCCAGTTATCATGCCGTGCTTTTCTCATGATCCCTCCGAGCGGCGTCCGGTGTAGTCGACGTACGTGTGTAGTCAACGTGCTGCTCCGTGTGTAGTCGACGATCTGCATGGCTTCTTGGCACAGCAACCTTGGCGAGGGCGCCAACGCATTAGTCGGCGCTAACGTCGTGGCCTTCGGTCAGGATGTCAGCAGCAGCGGTCGCTCGGTCCGATCCACTGGATGCCGCTCGGTCAGGATGTCAGGATGTCAGCAGCAGCAGCGCGTGGCGGTACAGGTGGAGGGACCCGGTAGCTCAATTCCAATCTCGGGCGTGCACTGAGGCCCCGTTTAGATCCAAAAATTTTTAGATTTTGGCTACTGTAGCACTTTTGTTTTTATTTGGCAATTAATGTCTAATTATGGACTAATTAGGTTCAAAAGGTTCGTCTCGCGATTTCTCACCCAACTGTGCAATTAGTTTTTTTTCGTCTACATTTAGTACTCCATGCATGTGCCGCAAGATTCGATGTGACAGGTACTATGCAAAAAAATTTGGCTTTTGGGTGGCATCTAAACGGGGCCTGAATTAAAATCCCTGTCATATGTAACTTTTCATTTTTGACAAAAAAATTCCACAACTTTCTTTTTTTGGAAAGTTTTCCTTTTTGGACTAGACTCATACGCTCACTCCCCTTGTACGCGCATGGCTGCCTGTGTCCACTGAAGTCACCGCTGACGTCATCTTAAAAAACAAGGATTTGCTTTAAACTTCTATAACTTCTTAACGGTGTATTCATTTTCAATTCTATCTACACCATGTGTTCTATGTGACGAGGCCAACAAAGTTAGACCTCGCCTGCATTTGTTTGAAAGAATTTTATTTTAGTAGCAAATTATGTGCAATAACTATTTGCAGGAGCAGCAACAATTCCAGGCAATGGGCTGCTGTCCACTGATGATTCATCTGTGCAATTATACCCTACTCAGCCTCATCTGATAAAGAATATCTGCCATTCTCTGCCACATAATTATAATCTGTTCCACAGCGAGGATGAAAGAGTGGCGTTGGCAGTGTAGATCTTTTTCAGGAGATAGATGACAGACTCACACAGTTTGATAACGTACTGGAATCCAGAAGAAAGAAGGATGGGTTTGGGAAGGGCAAGGGCAAAGGTAACTTTGCAGCCGAGAGAGAGGCGGGAGCAGCTAATGTGAAGTACACGACTTTGAGAACTCTCTTTCCAAACCCTACCAAGGTTAGTCCATTCATCATTAGTTTATAATCTAAATTAGCTCTTTTGGTTGCAAAAAATATAGTGACTCTCAAGAGTCTCAATAGTATTCCAATTCACAAACCTGTCAACAAGTAAGATGTGGTTTTAGGTGTACACAATTAAGGTTATATATATACAAACTGTAGTTGCAGTTTACGTTTTCTTGCTAGGAAACGCAAAACTGCGTTCTGGCTCCCGGAGTCCCGGTTATTATATTCTGGTCAGACCGCAGCTGAAATTAGAACCGTGTTTATCTACAATTTTGTCAATCCACTCAAGGCCACTTGATTGCAGAAACAACTCCGTCACTGCATTCTAGTGCAATGTACTGACCATCACATGCGATATTGAAGCCCTGAAGGAGCATCACGAAAGTGATTTCAATAGCTGAGTGACAGGCTCTTTTTTTGGGAGTGTTGAGTAACAAACTCTGCGACAGTAGAATTATCAACTCAGCATCTAGCACCAACTAGGTCGTTTTTCGGTATCTTGTTTGTATTAATAACTTTTGAATCTTGTGCATGCGGCCTGAGCCGCATCTAGGTTCGGGTACACGTGTGATCACACGTACTTGCTCTCTTCTTAATGAAATACGCGCATATGAGCTTGTAGATCAGTGGTAGGACATCCATTAGAGGTGCCACCCACCTAGGCTCGAATATGGATGCTGCACAATAAAAATCCCCCTCGCTGGCACAGCCAGGGTTCAAGTTTTTTTCGTGGTCGGAGCGAAAAGCATATGCCACTAAAGTAATGATAAAGGTTCCAAGCAGTATATATACCTGAGCAGATGCCACTGGCGCTGGCGCCGACATGGTTCGGGGGGTTGGCCATGGAGCCGGCGGGGTTGACCAGGTCGGCCACGACGATGCCATCCCTGCGGCTGCAGACTTGGGCTCGTAAGCTTTGATCTAGTAGGGGTTAGGCCACACGTCGGCCATCCAGGCGACGTCAGGTTCATGCCCTCAAGGTTAATATACACAGCGGATAATTAGGATTCCTCACATTCACAAACCTGCCCACGCCGCCCTGAACGTCACTGGCATCGAGAAGAGAGGACAGAGGCGGTGGATGCCTAGCCGGCGCCGGGAGGAGGAGGGGACACCGAGGCGAGGCAGCAAAACGCGAGGAGGGAGATGCAATACGCAATCTACTTTTGAAACATTCAAATGCAACACTTGCAACATATGTCTAAAGACAGATGAAACACTTGAAACATGCATCTAAAATATTTGCAAAAACACCTGAAAAAACACTTAAAACCGTACAATTGGAAAAACATAAGCAACATCTAGATAAAACACTTGCAAACATATCTGTGAAACATATGCAACATCCAGCTAAACACACTTGCAACATACGTCTGAAAAAAACAGATGAAACATTAGGAACAAAAGTTTGCAACATACGTGTACAACCATTGAAATATATGCAACATCTCGATCTACTTTTGAAACACCCATATGAAACACTTGCAACATACCTCTAAAACACTTGAGACAGACGCTTGCAACATGCACTTTCAACTTCTTGCTGCGTGAAATTCGATGCTATGGAGTGGCGCGAAGGTCGCCAGTGTGAAACTCGTCGGCGGCACAGACCTTGGCAGGGGCCGCGGTAGGCGTATGGAGCGCGGCCGCAACAGGAGACGTGAGTCAGGGCGAGGGCATGCGGCACGGGCGAGGGCGAGGGCAGGGTCCATCCCACGAGCAAGAGCTACGTAGAGTGAGCGGGCGGGATCTGTTCCATGAGCGGGCGACGCGGGCGGGGTCCGTCCAGACGCTCTATCAGGAGCGTTATCACTTTAATTAGCATATCTATGTTATAGAATATCTACTACATGGTAAAGTGTTGGCAGAGAAGAGGGGGTGATGCCCAGTTTCGCCTCTGAGCCTCTGAGGTGAGGATCAAGAAAGCGATCAAGCTCTTTTTTTTTTTTGAGGGCCAAGTAACAAACTTTGCGACACTAGAATTATCAACTCACCATCTCGCACCAACTAAGTCGTTTTTTGTCACTTGTTTGTATTAATAACTTTTGAATCTTGTGCCGTACGTCTGAGCCACTTCTAGGTTCGGGTACGCGTGTGACCACGCTTACTCTCTTCCTAATGAAGTATGCATTCAGGCGCGTTCGCAAAATGCATTTGGCACTTAGACCGTACCACCCCTAACGCAACAGCGTGTACTGTAGCCTCATCCTCCGTGTCAGCATCTGGTATCCAAATCAAGGTCGGAGCATACAGTTTGGAGCGCGTTGTGAGAGAAAAAATCGAGCAAGCAAATAAAAAACTCTGACATCCGCCAAAAGTACAAACAATAGAACCATGGCCTCGTTAGTTGGGTGAAGTTTGGGATTTTGGCTACTGTAGCACTTTTGTTTTTATTTAGCAATTAGTATTCAATCATGGATTAATTAGGCTCAAAACGTTCGTCTCGTGATTTTCAACCAAACTGTGCAATTAGTTTTTTTTGTCTATATTTAATGCTCTATGCACGTATCGTAAGATTCGATGTGATGGGTACTGTAGCACTTTTTAGAAAAACTTTTTTGAAAGGATAGGCACGGTATGCCTGCGTTGGGAGCGCTGGCGGAGCTATGTTAAGGCGAAACTAGGTTGTTGCCCCCCTGCCTCGGAGTAATTCTGCATGCATACATGCAAGCAAACTGGTTCCCTGCAATTGTGCTCATGCTAGACGTAGGTAGTTGGAGGCTTGGAGCTCATATTGTCATGCAGACATGGAACTTCCTTTCATACATGCGCTGTTGCTAGTCTATTTATAGGCTCATAAATCACAAATATACAAATATACATACAGGTCACTGTGGGAATTAGCCCCCCCTTAATTTCTTCCCACGCTCCGTCACTGGTTGGGAGAATCAGTTTTCTAGGATAGTCTCACCGGTGCTTTTGTCCGAGAGATCGAGACCACTCCTCGTGTACGCCCGCTGGGGCTGCGCTAAGCATCGATGAAGGCTTCAAGCAGTATATATACCTGAGCAGATGCCACTGGCGCTGGCGCCGGCATGGTTCACGGGGTTGACCATGGAGCCGGCGGGGTTGACCAGGTCGGCCACGACGCTGCAATCCCTGCCGACTTGGGCTCGTCGGCTCGTATCTGGAAGGGGTTAGGCCACGCGTCGGCCATCCAGGTGATGTCGGGTCCATGATGTCCGATCCGAGTCCGCAATCACGAGTTGAGCCGGAATCGGTGTCCCGTTTCGCGGCAGCCTCAGGCTCAGCCTATATATACACGATGCAATGCACAGAATAGATCCCATGAAGTAGAGGAACAACGCGTGCGTGCACGAGACGCAAAGATGTCCAGCTCCAACTCCAGGCGGCGGGGGCACGACCAGCTCGTCATAGAAGATTGGGAGATGGGGTACAGCATCCACAAGCTGGACATCGACGACTTGGACTCTGACGCCCGCGCCGCCGCCGTCAGCAACCAGCAGCTGGGGCGCCTCCCCGAGCCCTGCGCCATCCGCATCGAGGCTCCGGTGGACCGGTACCCTGCAAGTGTGACCGCAATCGGCCGCAAAATCTTATTCGTGACAGACCGGTACAGCGACGAGGCACCGATCCTCATCTACGACACGGAGACGGCGTCGCTGGCCATCGGGCCTCGCCCCACGCCCGCGCTGCTCCCCCTCGGGCACATACTCTTCGTGCCCGTGGACGAGCGGTGGCTTTACGCGCTCAACCCGCGCCGTGAAGATCGTCTGCAGTGCTCCTTCGAGGTGATCTCACGGGGGCCTCGCGACGAGGAGGACGAGTTCCGGCTGTCCTGGCGCGCCGAGCGGTGGTCGGTGGAAAGCGTCCCCGCGCCGATGCCTTTGGGCTACCGCGATGTCGTCAGAGCCTACGCCGTGCACCCGGACGGGCGCACCATCTTCGTGTCTGCAAAAGAACTGTGGTCGAGGGAGGGAGAGGGAGATACCACCCACTCCTTCGACACCCGGAGTTCGGTGTGGACGCGGCACGGCGAGTGGCAGCTGCCTTTCCATGGCCAGGGCTACTACGTCGACGAGGTGGACGCGTGGGTGGGGCTTCGCAGGGATGGGTTCCTTTGCTCCTGTGCCATCCCTTCCCGCCGTCGAACAGCCGAGCGGCCGCCGGACTCGAAGCTCGGGAGGAAGACGCTGTTTCGCGAGAATCCCAAGAGACATGTGGGGCAGCCTACAGGTGCCACGCTCACGTACATGGACGACGCCAGGTTCTGCCTTGTCGAGTGCGCGGCCCGGCAAGGCGTCAGATGGCGGGACGCCTCGGACGGTGAAGTCGACGGCTGTGTCCTACATGTCACCGTATTTGGCGTCAAGTATGACAAGAGGGGCGGCCTACAAACTACGGATCACCATGAACGTTCGTACCTTGTCTCTAGGTATGGCCCCATGTTTGCAGCGCAGACGTTCTGGATGTAAAAGTTACTACTTGATTTACACTGCTTGAGAAGTAAACAGATACCGAAACATCCATGGTTTCAACTGAAGCAGCATATATCACCGTCTCTTTCTATTTTTCTTGTACTATTGATCAAGGATTTCATTTATGTAACCCAGTTGCATTTCAGTAGTCGATTTCAATTCTATATATCGTCGTTTTCACTTGTTAGCAGTTAGTTCTTAGTAATGGCCTAAACAAAGATTACTTTGAACATTTTTACGATAATTAGGGCAGTGCTAGGGTACTCCTTTTACATAGTAGGAGCCAGGAGGAGGTAATTGCTCAAATAAATCTGGACCATTGATTTTTTTAGATTTTATAAATTAATTAAATAAACTAGTAACCTAAGGAAAGGAGGGGAAAATCCAACGAGCCCCGTAGCAAAGCAAGAAATGGACCATTGACACAGATTACCAAAACATTATACAGTCTTATATTCAAGCTTAATTTTTTATTGTCCACTTCCTATTGAAAGCATGAAAGCTAATGCAATGAAGATCTCTAGAAGAACCAACAGTGATTTCGATGCATGTAACAATTCCTACGTATTAGTGTGACACCACACCAAATTCCAAAATCCCAAAATAAAAAGATTTGCCACATCCAACAAATTAGATACGCATCAATTAGATCTAGAGCAAAGTTTTTTTAATCTAGAACTTTCCTTATTTATCCAATTTTAACAAATAATAAATTAAATAAATTTATATTTTGAGGTAATAAGTGATTATAGTCATCCGATATAATTAAATGGACAGCTCAGAGTTTTTTGGGAGTATTACAGCAAAGCCCCGATTGTTAATCATAATTCATAATCAATTGTACATTGTCAGGAAGATCATCTTGGCATATGAGAAGAAGATAACATTTCAGCCTCCATGCTGCATTGTGTGCTTACTTCTGATGACTGCAAACTGGGAATTGGTCTGGGCTCACGTAGATGTTTCTCTTCCTGTTCACTATTTCCCCCTGCCCATTCATCTTTTCTTGTGGCAGTCTGGTCTATGGTGAATGACCTTCTTAGCCCATGTAAAACTGAAGCCACCACCACCATGGCAGGCCGTTCTTCTCCCTTCACGTTTAAGCACCGTACTGAAAGCTCTGCAACGGCATAACATTGGTCTTCGCCTGCTTCGGCCAAAATGTGCGGCTCTATCTCCTGAAGCAAGCGCCGTTCATTAAATAGAACCACCAGATGCATAGCCAAGTTACATGATTCTTCCGGCCTTGCTGCAGAAATAGGTTTCTGCCTGGTCAATAGTTCTGCAAGAACAACTCCGAAACTGTAAACGTCACTCTTCTCAGTTAGCTGACTGGTTTGGAAATATTCGGGATCAAGGTACCCAATAGTCCCCTGAATAAGAGTAGTTATATGAGTTTTATCAAATGGGACTGATCTTGATGCACCAAAGTCTGCTATTTTAGCCACGAAGTTCTCATCCAGCAGAATGTTGCTTGATTTGATGTCTCTGTGTATGATTGGTGCAGAAGATGTGGAGTGCAGATAGGCAAGTGCATCTGCAGTTTCTGCAGCTATCCTTAAGCAGTCTTCCCATGTTAGAGGGCGAGGTGCATTTCTGTTGTGGATGTGCGGGAAGAGTGTTCCATTAGGTACGAACTCATAAACCAACAATGGTACCTGTGTCTCTAGACAGCATCCCAAAAGCTTGACAACATTTGGATGGTCAATCTGTGACAAGATGGAAATCTCATTGACAAATTGCTCCACTTGGCTCTCATCGAACACCTTGGACTTCTTTATGGCGACTATAGTTTGATCTGCAAGAATGCCCTTGTACACTGTGCCATGTCCACCTCGGCCAAGGATTCGACTCTCGCTGTAGTTGTCAGTAGCAGCCTTGAGCTCTTCTGCACTAAATATCTTTGCTGATTGGTCCTCTCCTTGAGACGTGATTGTTGAAAATCTCTGCTGCAGTAGTAAGCCACCATTCTTCCTGAACAATTCTGCTCTGTTTCTTCCTAGCTCTGTTTTCTTTATCGCCCAGCAGTAGAACGACAGAGCGGTGGTCACTGTAACCATAAGTGCAAGACCTACACCTGCAGATGTTGGAGAACACTTGTAACGTAAGTCTACTGTCCAATTGGCTCTCATGTGGGAGTAACACTACTGAGACCAATACAAATAGGACTGAATGACTGATGACTGTTGAATTGATTATTTTGCTGCAGATTGTGCATGATACAAGATTGACTGGCCCCATGTAGCAACATTGAGGTAATCTTTAGGACTAATGTAAACTATAATTTCTCTCTTTATCATTACCAAAGGCATGTTTAATCTTTTTTAAAATGACGTGTTTAATCTACTTTACTTCCTTTTTTATTCATAAACCATAATGCTAGCTTATATAAGATGGGGCCTTACTTATGGAGTCTGTTGATTAATATGCATTGACGTAATGTGGTAAGCATATGATGTATATTATAAATGTATTGAGGAAGTTACCCAAAACTGTGTCTAGAGGAAAGTGCTTTTGAGAGCCAAAATAGCAGCCACTACCCTTTTTCTGGCCATCACCACTCATCCCGTCAGGGCAGTCGCACAAAACAACTCCTTCCGAATCAAAGCAGAGCTTAATGTATGTGCAAGGGTTCTTTTCTGTGTGATTACACACGCTGGTACCTGATAAATAGCCAAGGATCATCAACGACATCTCTTTGAAGAGATTTCTTTTCACAATAGAAAAAATCATGGCACTAAAGAACCAGTAAAGGGTGGTAAAGTCATGATGAACTAATGGACTCGTACACTCATTGCAATGAACAAGTTATATGGTACCTTGCGGTTGGTGCGTAGGGGAATCTGCAGCACAAAAGAACGTTAATTGTTAGTCAGTAGGTATTAAATGTCTAAATGTATTCAAGAAATATATATAGGCATATATTACTCAGGATTCAAGCAAGTATTTCTTACATGAGAGACAATTGTTGAATGCAAGTGACTGGGAGTAACCAAAAGACAAAATGATTCGGTCAGTTGTAGAATGATTTAGAAGCTAACCTTGTTTCTTTAAATATCCCATAAATCTTTTTGGCATGTTGCATTCAGAAATTATGTTATAGTGTACTGGGTCTAAGGGTTTATGTTTCATTTTTTTCTTTGAAAAAAATATAAAACAATAGGGATTAAAGATTTCTACGTATGCTAAATTGCATTCAGAAAGTATGTTACAATGTACAATTGGCTACAATAAGCATAGTTAGCTAAAATCACTATTCCTCTGTCCACAGATATAAGAACTTCTAGAGTCTTTAAGGCGTTAAAAATAGATAGAATAGGCGCATGTACGGATGTGCCATCAGAAGTGGGCTACGGTTTTTTGCGTTAGTTGAATAGTTACGGCCCTATTGTTCAGTAACCCCTGGTTTTAAATGGCAAGTCACCACCTAAAACAAAATATATTGAATAGTTGTTGAATTAAATTGATGCTTGGAGATTCGGTACCAAAATCCTTATATTTATGAATAACTCTAAAACAAAAGTCCTTATGATACAATGGAGAAGGTTATGTTGAAATATTGCGTTCAGATAACAAAATTCTAAAATTACTATTCTACTATTACTAATTGAAGGCCTCTAACAGAGTCTCTGTATTAATTCTCATGAGACGTGCTAAAAAAACAATATTCTAAAATTACTATTCTATTATTACTAATTGAAGGCCTTCAACAGAACCTTTTACGGGACATGCTAGAAAAAAACAAGCCCTAAAAATTCTCACAAAAATAAGGAAGATCTAACCATTGATCCAGTAGAATTTAATTACTTCCAATAATAGTAGGCACAATCCATTCAATTTTCTTAAAAAAACTTACATAGCAACTTCTAATGTGGAAAATGTCTAAATAACCATAAAATATAATTATATATGTTTATAAATCACATACTTTTGTAGCTATTAATACATAAAAACAATTTAAGGTAATCATAAATGATGTGCATACAATTTAACTTAAACATTATAATATATGTTTCTAAATTGTAAGCACTATATTTTTATAGAAAATACTATTTGTCAGTGTTTTGGGCCGGCGAGCCCTCAACCAACTAGTAAATTTGTACTGCGTGTTCTCAATCCCGGATGGTGGTGCAAAAAGACACAAGACTTGTACTGGTTCGGGCAATGTGTGCCCTACGTCCAGTCTGAGAAATCGATCTTGTATTCCTTGCACCGAAATGCTCGTAGTAGGGGGTTACAAGCAGGGCGAGAGAGGGAGCTAGTCCCAGGTCTCTATGTGGAGCGGCATGGATTGCTTGAGATATTGATCTCAAGCCGTGAAGGAACTTATGTGTTCGTCTGTGCGTTTGCGCGTGAGTTTGTCGAGTGGGCGTAGGCCTAAATTGTAAACGTTCAATCCCCCTGAAATGGCACTGGTCCCTCCCTTTTATAGTTGAAGGGGGGACAGGGGTGATACATGCGCTAGCTACACGGCGTCGTGCGAACGGAGGTGGCATGTCCGAGCCCTGTAGCCTGTTCCTGTGGCGGCGTGGTCGATGGAGTGGTCCCGTCCTTGAAGTACTAGGGCGATGCGCTGGTCACATCCGATCCTGTGCGTCGTGGGGCTCCAGTGTTATCTTGAAGCGGGGCGTGGCGGTCGACGTGCCGGTCACTGTGGGTTGACTGCGTGGGAAGCCGAGGCTCAGTTGGTGCCGAGGCCGAGCCATCGTGGGAGGCTCGGCAGACATGAATCCTGAGGTTGCCGAGACCCTAAAGTAGATTGCCGAGGCTTGGAGGGAGTAGTTGGTCTCGTACGCTGATTCCGAGGCTATGGTGACCCGGACTTGACTCCCCACGCCGCGTTGTTCCTGGGGCGGAGGTTAGGTGGCACAGTGTAGTGCAAGCGCTGATCGTGGGCACAGCGCCAGAGCACAGTGGCCAGTAATCCTAGCCCCGTCCTGTCCTGGTCGGTATGGCGTTGATGCGACTTCCTGTCTCGTCGGCCACTCTACAGTGTC